TATAGCTTCATGCTCTGCTTGCTAAATCTCTGAATCATCGATAACGATGTAATTTACAGATAGGTTGTAAACAATCATCACACTTAAAGTTACATCGATAAATTTAACTCTTCGAATTACAATTGTTTTTTTTACGTTTAAAGCGCCTCCTGGGTTAGAAAAAAAAAGTTCGTTTGGTAAGTACAGATGTATTTGGAACCACTCTGTTCACTATCTTATTAACCGTGTTACTCATTTAAAGTTTATATTGGTATTTCTGAAGTCCAGCGAATCAATATTTGGTTAGATACAGCCTGATGAGATGTGTGGAGTCAAACATGAAACATTAAACAATGATTACAATATGTTGAACTAGTTGTACTTGTCATCATATTGTACACCAGCGCTGCCATCATTCTGAGATGCTGGTTGGGCCCCTAAGGAACCCCCATAAGCGTTGGGGTTGTATCTAATAGGTATTCTAGCTCCTGAATCATCACCTATTTGAGAACGCAGCTGAACCTGGCGTATACTGGGGATTTCTGGCAGCTGTGGGAGTTTAGGAAGGCTAAGGTAAACAGAAGTATCGCGAGAGGGGGGGCTAGTAACGTGCACGAGACCGAGGCCGAAAAGACTGTTGGGGTAAAAAAGCAATGAGCTGGGGTTGTGGCTGAGATGCAGGAATACCATCATAAAAGTTTGGCCTTGATGCAGGAGCACCGCCATAGGAGCTAGGCCTCGAAACAGGTCTTGATGCAGGACCACCACCATAAGATATTGGCCTAGCGACAGGTCTGGGCTCAGTGTCACCACCATAGGAAGTAGGCTGAAGTGCAGGTCTGGATCGAAGGTCACCAACATAGACATTAGAGTGAGGTATAGGTCTTGGTGATGGTCCACCACCATAAACGTCAGGCTGAGGTGCAGGTCTGGGCGAAGGACCACCACCACCATAAACGTCAGGCTGAGATGCAGGTCTATGTAAAGGGCCACCTCCATAAACGTCAAGCTGAGATGCAGGTCTGTGTGAAGGGCCACCACCATAAACGTCAGGTTGAGGTGCAGGTCTGGGCAAAGGACCACCACCATAGACGTCGGGCTGTGGCACTGGTCTGGGTGAAGGATCACCACCATAAATGTCAGGTTGAGGTGCAGGTCTGGATGAAGAACCACCACCATAGACGTCGGGCTGTGGCACTGGTCTGGATGAAGGGCCACCACCATAAACTTCAGGTTGAGGTGCAGGTCTGGGTGAAGGACCACCACCATAGACGTCGGGCTGTGGCACTGGTCTGGATGAAGGGCCACCACCATAAACGTCAGGTTGAGGTGCAGGTCTGGATGAAGGGCCACCACCATAGACAATAGGTTGAGAAGCTGGCTTGGCATCGGAAGGCCCTTCAGCAGATTCACTGGGAGAAAGTGGTGGGAATCCAAACTGGGTGGGAGTGGGAGGTCCCAAAAGGAACTCTTTAGGGTAGTAACGCTGGTAGTAACGAGCAGTTTTGTTGGGGCCTTTAAAATCGAGCGGCTGAAACAAAATATGTTACTTATGTTAAACACTACATACATAAGTTACAACGTAAGTATTCCATACATTAAATTAAAAACATAAAGATGTCCAGTTTTTAAAATACACAAACTGATCTTCAAACACGAGAAAAGATACTCAAATAATATTCCAGTAATTTCCATATTAATACGAAATATAATAGAAAGTTGGGGAAATCTTTAACTGTATACCAGTTAATAAATATTCACCAAGGGCTGTTAGATACACGTCGTATGTTATACAAGGCTTCGATCAAAGATTTAAAATATTGTAAAAAAAGTAGCAACTTGTGATTTTGATAAGAAAACTGTACTTAAGTTATATTTATTCTGAACAAACCTTTTTAAATGATAACTTACAGATAATAATGTGTATTGGTCCCAGAATCTGTTTATATTACGTTACTGTATTTACTTGATAAACAATGCTTACTTTGTACAAGTAGTCGTTAACGACGTGAAATTTCTCTGATCGATCACATATATCTTGATTAGACGGCACACAGTTTAGATGAACCTGGTGAAATACTGTACCCGTGGGACACATCCATGAGTGACGAGCGCCCTCTACACAGTAGTGGAAGACCCGACAATTGACGCTATCATCGGCATAGTAACCATCTTTCTTCCCAGAACAGGCGAACTTGGAGTCTGCCAAAAGCAGGGAGAGAGGGTCTGGAGTAGTTGGTTTTTCATCTACGTCAGCATACCGACCATCGTCATCTAGAGGCTGTAGAAACATAATAGCATATTGAAAGGTATAAGTACATTAAAATATTTCAAAATATAAAGTGAATGTCACAGTTTTGATGCTACCTTCACGACTTTACCTTCTAACTTCCAAATAATGAGGAAACAAACTTGTTCTCGTTTAGTTTTATCAAAATTAAACCATAAGTCATTACAGTTTCCTGCTATAAACATTCAAACTAAAACTTTGTTGCTTAATCACATCACGATTTTATACGTGGATTAACGTACATTAAAAAACACGATACACAATTAAAACATAAAGAAGGATTTCAAGCAATACTTGAGGATCAGTTATTGTTTTACCAACACAGACACACACACACACGGAATGTATATAATACCTACAGGTCAGTTACCAATTTAACAACTTGTTAAATTATGAAATATTTCGAAAACGTATTCAATTCAGCCCCTAAAAACTGGTTAACAGGAATATGTTTTGATAATGAAGTAATTAGATATTGATTTTGTTTTTTAAAACCAGAACGTAATATGTACCCTATCGAATATGCGTAATAAAAGTTACAGTCAGATACATTTTATAGATAGTTTGTGTGATATTGTATCACGATAAGATTAATAATCCTCACATCGAATCTCTCTTTACTGGTCCACATATATCATAAGACTTGATGTCTTATAAATGACTAATATATATGTAGTGCTTCAATCAAGGCTTAGTGAGTACTTAAATATTTGATATCCAATAGGCGTTATACACCATAAGATTTGATATCCAATAGGGGTTATACACCATAAGATTTGACACCCAATAGGGGTTATACACCATAATATTTGATATCCAATAGGCATTATACACCATAAGATTTGACACCCAATAGAGGTAATAGACCATAAGATCTGATATCCAATAGGCGTTATACAACATAAGATTTTGATATCCAATAAATGCTAGTTATGCGCCATAAGATTTGATATTAAATGGTTTTTGGCGTTGCTCACCATAGGATTGAATATTCAGTGGATTATTTTCGCTCTTAATCTTCATATATTTAAAAAATGTATATTTAGCTTCTACAGCTTTGATTCTTTGAAAGCTGCATATTGGAAAGAGATTGGAAGGGGTTTCCGACAGAGTATTCTCTTCACCTCATTTTCCGAATTTTATTTCATTAAACAATGGCTTTAACAGTAGGCTAAAAAAACGTGAGCTGTTACCTTACGGCCCCCTGGAGCTTGCCGCCTAGAACTATCACGGGGTGGAGAATAGGCTTGCGCCAGTTGGGCTTGAAACTGGCGTTGTGGAACGGGATAAAGCCCTCTATCATCTTGGTTAATTTCGTTCCTAGGACCCGGGAAATGGTATCTTGCTTGTCGCTTTTCCTGATGGGAAAACAATAACAAAAAACAGTCAAAACCTTCATCAATCTGTTCTGCTTTAAGTAACAACAATTTAAAATAATTCAAACGATTTGCCCTATTTTCGTTCGTGCGCAGCACGAGGAACTTTTGAACCAGATTGAACCGCGTAGAGATCCACTTCAAAGAAAATGAATCCCAACCACATAGCTCGTGACGTTACACACCTAGTGGTAGTCGAACTGTTTAGCACTACATTTTAAGACAGGGTCTGGTAGCCATGGTTATAGTGAATGTACCATCTGTGTGGAAATATCCATAACTTGATTTTTATATCTTAAAAACCAGAAATAAAGTAAAAGGCGAAACGAAATATTGCGTATTTCTGTTGTTGTTTTTTTGTTGAGAACAAACTTCTAGTTTTTAACTTTTCTTAGGCTTAGCCTATTTATAGAAATATTAACTTTTCTTAGGCTTAACCTATTTATAGAAATATTAACGTTCTGCTCGTTTTCGCTAATTTTTTGCATAGGAAATAATTTATTTTTAGATTTTTAGGGTCTTACGCTAATTGTTCCCTCTGATAAAATACACCTTAGGCATATCCTTTTCAGATATTTTCGCTTATAGATAATAACTAATTTCATGTTTTCGGTATTTGTTTTTAACGAAACGTGATTACTATCAATGTAAATTATTAATCTTAGCAATAGAAAAAATATTTATTTTCCTTACATTTCTAAATTGTTCTTCAATGATTCGTTTATTAGAGATAAGTATTTTTAATTCCTAATTTTTCTTTTAAAGAAAATATATTTATATGTTTTTAATTTTTGCCAATTCTGCTAAAAAAACAAACAAAAAAACGGAATTCTTATCATTTCTACTGTTTCATTAATCTTACTCCAGGGGAGACCCGGCATGACAGGTGATTAGGGTGCTCGACTCGCAATCTGCTGTGGGGGCGTCATAATGTGACAGTCAACCCCACTATTCGTTGGTAAAAGAGTAGCCCAAGAGTTGGTGGTGATGACTACCTGCCTTCCCTCTAGTCTTACACTGCTAAATTAGGGACGGCTAACGCAGATAGCCCTCGTGTAGCTTTGCGCGAATTTTAAAAACAAGCAAACAATGCTCCAGGGTACAAAATACTTAATTGTATTGTCTACCTATTCCATAATTATTACTTAAAAAACGAAACTGTTACATTTTTATATAACCAGTCACATTTTACCTTTTACCATAGAACTGATTTTATTAATAGAAATCACTGGTAACCAGAGTTTGTGTTACGTACCCTTTCTTCGGCTGCTACGTAAGCTCCTGTAAGAGAGACGATATTAGTGTTAGGTTTTCGTAAACCTAGATCAACTGACAAATGAAAAAAAATCACTTGTTGCGATACTTTAACTCAGTAAAAACTAGATGTAAGGAGATGATTTTGGTTTTGTTCACTAAATCGAACACCACGTTATCTAGTTGGTTCTCTTAGATACAACTAATACTAATACAAGAAGTGTTTGAGAATTCTCAGAAAGTTTACTGTTACGTAATGTTTTTATCTGCATAAATAATAACAGGTCCCTCTATTTAAAAATACACGTCAATGTTTCAAAAATAAAAACTCTTACCGTATACACAGAAGACGCACAATAAAAGTCTCATCATCAGCTATTGATTCTAGAAATAAAAGTATTATTAAAAGGAAATAATAAGACTCACATAATACAAATTTATTTAAAGAAATAAAAGTATTGTTAAAAGGAAATAATAAGACTCACATAATACAAATTTATTTAAAGAAATAAAAGTATTGTTAAAAGGAAATAATAAGACTCACATAATACAAATTTATTTAAAGA